ACATTCCCGACGACAGTCCGCCATTAATTACCCTTCGTCCCTATCTCTCTCTCTCTCTCTCGTTCTTTCTTGGTTCTGGGCTTTCGCCATGTGACGGGTACTACTTTATCGCTTATCGTGGTCCGTTCTATACGGCTATGCATCTAGCGAGCAAGTTCTGAGCAATATAAATTGCAAAAAAATAAAAGAAGAGACGTAGACACCGCAATTATTTTGAAGCCTCAGTTACTGTACTCATTTTGAAGATATATATTTTCGGATATAGATAGATGCGGTAATCATCTCGCCAATGCGTAAATGGCTAGGGGAGAGTGGGGAGGAATCGAACAGTCAACAGATTTGTTCAGTGAATAGTTCAAAAAAAGTTGATGAACTGCTAGACTGATGGTACCGTGGCACTTTCAACTGTAATGACATACCTGCTTGATGTGGTGTACATGATTTGAGTCAGTGGTTGCCACTTCTACAGGCAAAAGTAGCACACCTTCGTTTTGGCCGGTTCTTGAACCAAAACGGGTTTAGCCAACGGCTGTAGCAAACTAACCTTGTAAATATGTGTTAATAGGTTCCTGTTAACCACCGCTATTTTCAGCTTAACATATCACTTGCTGCTACAAATGGCAACTCACCGTGTTCGAGGCAGTTTGGGATGAATGGGTCAGTGATATGGTTGGAAGAACGGTACACTGTCTTAGTTCTTCCTTGATAAAGATTGGTGCTCTGACTGTTAGATCAACACTAAGGTTAACCTGTAATAATGGTGAATGATCTAATTGTAGTTCATACTGCATTTAGGACACCAATTATTTGTTTCGTGAAAAGTGTTACCGTACTCTTAATTCCCTGTCCAAAACGACAGACAATCGGATGAAAAACGACGACTGCAATCGGGCTTCGTGTCTGAGGAAGACTAGACTGCCTATAATATCCACTAGTGCACATTTAGCGTATTTTTGCATGCGTCCCATTTCTCCCTGGGGGGAAAGGGCAGTAAGACATTTTTTTGCAGGGACTCATACCGAAAAATAGAACGTTTCGGTTACAGTTACGGTTACCGTTTCTTGTTAAAATCAGTTTCGTTTCGGTTTTTTGCGGTTTTAATTTTTACTGTTTCGGTTACCGGTTACACGGTCCTAAAAACTTTTTTTTTTGTTTGGGGGGGGGGGGGGGGGGCGGAAGGGGGGGCTCTTTAATAATTTGTTTCATTGAAATCCTGGACAGCCGTTGTATAATGAGCGGTTTAAAGTAGTCCCAGAAATCCGAACAACAGGACATTCACAATAAAAAGAATTCAAAAACGGCTTAGTACATCTAATTGGTCAAAAGTTGCACGCGTTTCTAGCTTCAACACTTGTTCACTACATCTATTTGCATTATATAGATTGGTACTCAAGCGCACATGTTACCCCCGCTACTCGGGGATCATCAGATGCTATATAATAAAAAGAAAAATAAACATCGCTACTTTGTTCTGCGGCAGTGTTTGTAAACAACGCTCAGATAGTATTTCCCGCTGGATACTGGAAGAACCATTCGCACCTTCTCGTCGCTATAGTTTATTGAAATTTAAGGTACGCAGAAGGGGCTTTGCCCACACTGAAGAAAAGAGCAGAACTATAGCCCTCCTCTAGTAAAGTGCTGCTAAGTGGAATAAAGTAATAAAAAGAAGAGCTGGGCTAGTTGGTGAAATTCCAACATAATGTAAATCTAATAGCGCGCCAAACAAGGAACACTAAAGAGAGGAACGAACAACAGAAAGGGCTGTAAACATATGTCCTGTGTTATTCGCGGACGCAAAAAGAAAAGATTAATATATGTTTTTAAACAGACTGAAGAAGGACCTATCAGGTTCCGAAATGTTTCCTGCCTAATCCTCGATCGCCATACGAGACTTTCCCTTAAAGGGCATATTTTGGTTTGAATTATATGTATAAAACCTCTGACACTTTTTTTTTCTTTATGTGTTTTTTCAAAATTGTCACTCGCGACACGTTTCAGACGAAATGAATACCAGGTTTTCTTTTCCGCCAGCTCTGCTTAATGATCAGTTTACCTCGTTTCTTCATACTGGCTGCTGCAGGTCAGGAACATCTTTAGTCTTTGAAAGAGCCCAGTTGGATGGACATTTCAGAATTGTAACTTATTAACACCCTGAATGCGACACATTTATTGAATATATGCAGCGATTGTAGGAGTGAGGCAGATTTAGAAATATACTTTTTCTTATAAGCTCGACCACTGATTATAACTTAGCATTCTTAATCCTAAATTTAGATTGAACGGAAATGTGTTACCAGATGCAGCACTCGCTGACCGTAACTCTGTAAAATAGCCACGACATTTCAAGATCCCCCATGAGGTCATTCTTGAGAAAAAATAATATTTTTATTTTTCGGTTAATATCGGATAATATCGGTCACCGGTAAATAATTTACGGTTACGGTTACGGTTTTCATAAATTTCAAATAACGGTCTCGCTCCGGTCATGGTTACTGAAAAAATTCCGCTCCTAAACGGTTTTCGGTTACGATTTAAGTCCCTGCAGTTTTGTCCTTGCAATGTTTGTTGTTGTTTTTATATTTCTAGAAGTGTTAGGTCAAAGTGCTCGTCAGCTTATGTGAAGGGTCTTTCACCCTACATTTAGGACCATTAAGCTTGTTTATGCGTGCCCATTAAACTACACAAGAAATCGTAGTATGAAAACTGTCCCATATATGCTTCCCGACTCTCCCCTACAGCGACTCTATCTACCTCGAAAATCAGTCGTAATCGTCTCGGAAGCATGTATACGGTCTCGTGACATGATTTGAATCGGAAAGAAGTGCTCTGTACTCTCAGACAGACCTCTATACTGCACTTTCGTAAGGGACTATACTCGCTTAAAGCCTAAAAAACGCCGTGCAGTTCCGAGCATCTTGCTATCCTTCCGCAACCAATCAAATTGTTGCTTGAGCCGAACGCCGAGGAGCGAATCACCAAGTAAGAAGCGTGAAAAGAGGAGACCCCTCCCCGCCTTCCTTAAGCTATCAGTGGATGTATACCTCCCCGTGGTGCGCACGGAAAAAGCAATAATGCCAGAGTCCCACCGGAGTGACAAACAGAAACAACCGACACGGACAAGCGTCAAACACACGGAGTATACTCACCCGAAGATATATCTTTGGCAGGCTTGCAATCACTCGTGCTGACTTCACGTACTTAGTAAAATCAACACAGCGCACATAAGAACGAAGGCGGAGTAACACAAGACAAGCGCTGACTCTGAACTGAAGTTGTAATCGAAAAACAATCAATGAAATAAACAAAAGCAAACAACGCCGTCATGCCGCACGTGTCCGGATAACTAATCTCTTTGTCTGCTATGCAGATGGACCGAAGTTTGCCCGAGATGTGTAAGAACATATTGTCACGGGTGGAAACCAAAAGAGCAATAAATTAACAGGAATAAATGGACGTTTAATGGGGCGAACTTGTGCCCAGCACAAAAGGCAAGAGAAGATAACAACAGAGCGTCGCGGGCGTCGAAGTCGGCGTAACAGCAAGATTGAACGCTGGGCGAGACTGACGACGGCTTGCCCTGCGGTCAGTACCTTTTTGTACACGCGTGGACCTCTGGGACATTCTGCGTAGAACTTTCGGTGCGAAGAACATTCGGAACTCGATCAGACAAGAATGTTCTCGAACTTACGAGAACGCAAAGTTCAAAAAATAAATAAAAGGACAGTACGCTGACTGGAGCCGAACCTAAACCTCTTGCATGACAGTCACTCGCCGACGCGAGTGGCAATACTTGTTCTTATACTTTACTGAACAAATATGTGGAGTGTACGGTAGGCATCGTGTACAGGATTCCGCTGTCAATGAGAGATTGTGTGAGAAATGCTTGGTCTTTGCGGTAGATAGCGCCTCTTCATTTGCAGATTGTGGATGCTATCCCGACTTTCATCGCGTCACGATAGTCGGAAGGGGACCAGATGACCAAAGAAATTTTAGAGGCGTACTAAATCAAAAAAGAAGGGACTGAGCGTTGCGTAAGCCCGTTATATCTGTTTGGCAGAGAGCTTAGTTACCTGGACACGTGCGGCCACGGGGGTGTTGTTTGCTGTTATTTATTTCAGTTTTTTTTTTTTTTGCCATTAAAACTTCAGTTGAGAGTCAGCACTTGCCTTGTGTACACCTTATCTACTTGTCTTTGTTTTTGTGCGATGTGCCTATTTTACTAAGTATGAACAAACTCGCCCGCATCGCCACCCTAATTGCTTTCCATACACGCTTTACATACAAGTGCCTTCGCGTGAATGCTTCACGTGCTTGATGCTTGTCGGTGTCGGTTGTTTCTGTTTATCACTCAAGTGAGACTCGAACACGGCGAGTTTTTCCTTTCATTACTTCAAGCAAAGACGAGCTACAAATCACGCTCAATGGCCACGCGGTATCAGTGGCAAACAGGCGATCGCCCTTTTTGGACTGAAACTGCGTGGTCCTTGAAGGATACTACTTGCCCTTCTCAAGCCCAGTGATGGCTGTTTCCATTGCATCGTAATGCAGTCAGTATATAGTACTTCTGAAAGAGCGGGGCCAATCTCGAATGAATCATCCAGTCTCGCCAATACCACCTGGAAGGAAAGGCGCATTACGACGTCGTTAGTGGATCCCCGACCTCCGTCCCAAGCGGCAAACACGCTGAATCTCGACAAGAGCGTGCGTCTTAACTTCGCGCTCGCTGGGAGACGCTGCAGGACGCGCTCCCGACGATGCTGACGCAAGGTCGGCCACACTGCAAGTATTCACTAGTCATGACCTTTGAGAGGGAAAGGCCTTGTCTTCTAGCTGCTATTGGTCTGGCACATCTAAACTTTTGGCAACTGCTTGTTCTTCTCTGCCTATCCAGCAGCGCGGGACTGGACAACGGCGGTCTTGGCGGCGGTGGCGGCGGGCCCCGGCTGACGGAGCTGCGGTCTTCGTCGTCGTCCTCGTCGTCTTCTCCGGGCAACAAGGCCATGGTCTTCTCCCTGGAGCAGGTGGCGTGCGTGTGCGAGGCGCTGCAGCAGGCCAAGAATCTGGACCGCCTGGCCCGCTTCCTCTGGTCCCTGCCTCCGGGAGACCTGCTGCACGCCAACGAGGCCGTGCTCAGGGCACAGGCCGCCGTCGCCTTCCACAGGGGAAACTACAAGGTGAGCCGCCACCTTCGAGGGGGGCCTTCCTACGGACTTTCGAAATTCTGTCTTGATTCAGCAAATTATCGATCAAATTAGAGGCTTAAGGTTTATACGGGTTTTTACTGACACTTACCAGTAATAAACGAAAATTGGCTTTCTTGCTGACACCTTACTTCTACGTATCGTAGCGTCTCGATCACCAACACAACATACTACATAGACATATCACCGAGTAAAAGTATAACGTTTCATAGTGCATTCATACCCCAAACCACGCTTTCATATTTCCACGTTCCTGCGTTTATGGTAACTTTGTCTTATGGCACCGCCATAAAACTTCAATAAATAACAGCTAATTAATTGCATTCTTAGAATTTTCATTCTCTGTTTGATATACTTGTAACAGATTCCCCTGTACAATGCCCTCGTGGCCCTGAGGGTATTTGAAGAAAATAAATAGAAATTGTTTTTCACGTAAAGAAATGCCACATAGCATAATGATTTTCTTGGTTGTAAGCTTAAAGAGAAATTGTGTTTTTCTTTATCACCTTTGGATTCAGATAGCGTCCTGTTCTGAAACATTTGCATTCTATCACAACCGCTTGTGTGACTGTCTAAGGTTCATGCTATGTGCAATTTACTTATGGCGATCAAAAACCCGGGCTAGATTTTCTCCCACGGACCCGGTACTTAGACACTATAGTTGAGTATGTAAAGAGTTTCGGCATGTAGTTGCTTGATTACACTTAGTAAAAGTAACGTGTAGCAAAAGTAACGTGTACTATGTGTCATGTTGGCCGGTGATTCAGGAACTGTACACCATCCTGGAGGGCCACAATTTCAACCCCCGCTACCACAACGAGCTGCAGCAGATGTGGTACAAGGCCCACTACCGGGAAGCGGAGAAGATACGTGGCAGGCAGCTCGGGGCCGTCGACAAGTACCGCCTCAGGTACCTCCTCAATCCTTCCGCCTTAGGCATGCTAGGTCCTTGTAGAGGTCAGCAAGTGAGCTGCCATCAGCAATGCGTTCGCACTCGGAAACATCTTAAGCACACTGCCAAAGCATCATACAATCTGCACACAATGTCTTAGGCGTGTCCTTGTGCATGTCGGCCACATTGATCATACAAAGACGGTATGCAGACATGTTTCAAGCATACACGTGTACGAAGCGAACATGTCCCAACATGTTTAAGGCATGTGTCCGCAAATGCTTCTGTCACCATGCCTACAGCGCGCACCGTGTTCTTTGTAGGATCCATGAGGAGCGTCTCCCCCGAGTGTCTAGTGCACCATGATAACTCGGTACACCAAACATCGGTCTTCTTTTAGTCCGTCCAACCAATCAGAAGAAAGACCGGTGTCATGTGCCCCGAAACACCGAATTGTCATGCTATGTTGGTAAAAAAGGGGATTATCTTTTTTTTTTTGCAATAGAGACTGCACGGCCACTGAAGCGTAATACATATATCGCCCTTCTTACTGGTCTTACGATGTAAACTCAGGACTTTGGTACATCATATCTAGGGTCCCCCAAAGATCTAGTCGTGGTCCTATTTTATTTTTGTTTTATATAAACGACACCGTAAACATTCATTATCCGTCTTCCCTTTTTAGACAGTTTTGCCAATTAGCCACCGGAGCATAATATCGATCGCTCTTGTCGTTGTTTGAACTGATTGAAGGAAGACCAGCGACATATGTTCCGAGGAGACCGCGGTGCAAACCGCGGAATACTCTCAAAACGCTAAGCAAAACGCTAAGAATACTCTCAAAACGCTGAGCGCGTAAGCGAAATGGTCGACTGTCCTGCGCAGACGCAAGTACCCGCTCCCCAAGACCATCTGGGACGGCGAGGACACGGTGTACTGCTTCAAGGAGAAGTCCCGGGTGGCCCTGAAGGAGTGCTACAAGCACAACCGGTACCCGACACCCGACGAGAAGCGCACCCTGGTGAACAAGACCGGCCTCACCTTCACGCAAGTCAGCAACTGGTTCAAAAACCGCCGCCAGAGGGACCGCACGCCGCACCACCGAACGTGAGTTGACTGCACTCTTGCACTTGACGTTTACAATGGTAGAAAATAGCCTGCGCTACGATCAACGAGGTAGAGGGGCTTAGAGTGATAAACCGGAAGTTCCGAAGTGGCACCCCCCCCCCCCCCCGGTTGCCGCCATGTTTTACGCAAATGTGACCACTCGTCACGTGACCTCACAAGAGCCGTGACGTCGAAGGTAAGATGGCAGCGCCCAGGGCCGGCGGATGCGAGTTTGTTCGGTGCGCGGCAGCCGCGGCAGCCGTGATGTGCAGCCGCTTTCCGACGATTTCGGGCTTTTTCGTGCTTGCTGGCGCAGGCATGATGTGAAGATATGAAGGAATGAGACTTTATACCCTTTTTGCGCAAGATCGCTTGGGATCATCTGGATAATAACACCTGTGAGACAGCATCAGCCGTATCGCCGTACCGGTGCTCGGATTCCGGGATGTGTTCGAGGATCGATAGAACTTTGAGTGCTTTTAGCATGAAATTTTCGCGTTCTCTTAGCTTTGTTTGAACGTTGAAATGTCTATGAATCGACGCGAAAGGTATACGTCGCGTTAGGGCCTAGGAGAAGTTGTTTCAGGCCTGCGTCACCGAATAACCATAGCAACTTTTAGCGATGAAGCTCCTGCGATCTTTAACCCTTTGTGCTAATTCACAATTCTACATTCGATTGCCTTTCTTCCTTTTTTGGTGAGTGCGAAGTGCACACTTATTTTCAGCTACGAGGGTGACGTTTTATTCAGTGTGGGGATGAATAAATCGTTGCAGGCATCTGCTTCAAAGCTATTCGACTTGCAATAAGAACAACTGTTTTGGTGTATGCATAGATTAACTGCACCTTTTTTTCTTTCGTAGGATTTATTGCAGCAATACTTTTTTCATCAAGAGTGCATTATAGTAGTCAGTCAATTATTTACTTGTTTTACCTGGATAAGATGATTCATATTTGTGTTCATCCCTTGCCTGAAGAGCAGTCTTGTTGAAAAATGTTGACCATTCCTTTCGGTCTCTTTAATAGCCTTTTTTGAAAAGTGTGAGTTGCCTATAATTTGTATCATTGTAACCTGGAAAATGACAACCGCCACAGCCCCCTCGAGCCAATCAGAGAGACAGAGCGAAGGTGTGTGACAAATCTGCAGACGAGCACTCTGAATGACATGTTGTCATGTGCCTCTCTCCAACGTGCATATTGGCTCACCGGGACTGTAGCCTTTGCTGTTTGCCAAATTGTGATGACACGAATTACAGTAGCTACTACTTTAATTACCCCTAGGCTTTCATACTTTGGTAATTTGTTCGACACGAGTGTTATGTCCGCCATCACCGTGAACTCAGCTCAGCGCCTATTGGACTCGAATGCTGCATTAGCATTCGACGTGAACAGGGGCCCATTTGTGTGCTTTACGCCGAAAAAAAAATGGTAACAGTTGTGTTGCTTGATGGGGTTCTGCAAAGGGTCTACGTATAGGAAGTCTCCTGCTATATAACAATGCATCAACACATACGATTAAAGCATATGTTCAGAGGTGTGTTCAGGAAAAGTGGAATGAGTGCAGCCCAATGCAACAAGTCTGCCAGTCTGGTATGTCCCATTAAATAACATTGAAGAATCAGAGATGCGAGTGTCCTCAAAAGGACCTGCGCGTGTGGTGAACACAATTCTTGCTGTATAAAATCTCGAGGCGTAAAGGCAAGCGGAAATAGATTTATCTGGTTAGTGTATCAAATATGTTTATTTCCACTGGATTACATAATTATTGATTCTTAGTTAATGGTTCCAGAACGAGTTCCTTCTGCGACAGTCTCCTGTCAGGCGTTCGGTCGTAATACCTGTGGACCTTGTTGTGGAATGACGGTCCTGGCACGTCGGTGTTCAGTTTGGTCGAGTAGCAACTTTAACCGACTGATGACGTCTTGTAATCATACGTCATGTGCGCCCACTGACATCTGATGCACTGAAGCTGCAGGGCTGGCTTCTAATCCGTAAAATTTTCTTGGTAGTTTTCTGCATCAATGCAGCAAGCTCGGGCATGTGTTGGTTATGTGGCTGTGCCTTTTGCTGTACCGTTGACTTGATAGCTGGCAACAATGTTTGTTTGCTATCCAAGCCATTTCACTTCCATTTCGTAATGGAGATTTATTGTGCATCCCACCACCACTGCAACTTGTGCAAGTCTTGTGTGGCAAAGTGAAGTCTCGTGATGCTTGCAGTCCACTTTTGAGAGCAACCAACCATTCTATTTCTTAAGGTCACTGAGCGGCATTCTCCCTCAAAGTTGGAAATTGTGTGCTTCGTGGCGTGGACACAGATAATTAGTGTCAGCAAATTATTAGGTATTGTCCTTAGACGACAAACGCCACCAGATCAACTCTCCTTGCATTGCCGCTCACCTGCTTTGTCCTGCTTACCTCCCGTCCAGATGAAGTAGATCACGAGCTTCGGGGTAATGCCGGCACCAGGGACAAAGACCGCCGAAGATAATCCTCAATCTTCCCCAGACGCTCGTTGAGACGTGGTCGAGGGTCGTTCGGCACAAACCCTTGCAGGCCAATTCATTGGTACGGGCACCTCCAGTAGACATGGTCGGCCTCATGCAGTGGTAGCAGAGTGGTTTTCGATCGGCCATTCGCAGTACCTCCGTTTTCCTCGGTGTACTTTGTTCAGCGCGGACCTACACTGGTTCTTCTCGATGTCAGGAATGCTTCAGCGTTGGGGTGTTTCGATGAATTGGCACTGAATAGTAACAAGTAGCCAGTGGTGGTCGTTGTGACTCTGTGGCATAAGTCGCCCTCGTTTCGTCAGATGCCGCTTCGCTCGAAGAAGTCTCCAGTTGAAATGCCTGTCGAACTTCTTCTGAAAAAAATCTCGGCGATCAAAATTAAAGCCGGGCAACTGATGGCAGGAACTAGCTTCCTTATCTCCTCCCGGACACCGTTGTGAATGATGTCACGGATGCCTGGGGGGCTGGCGTCGAATTTGCAGCTGGACGACTCGAGTGTCGCGACGCTGGGGAGTTTTTAATACTGACATGCTCGGGCCTGCAGTGTATATATACATTCAATGTTGGAAGCTTAATTGATATGAACCCTTCAACTGTTGTCGTGGAGTTGCGGACAAGGCTGCTGAAGGTGTTGTCCCTCACATGAGGAACATGGGATTCTTAGCTTCTTGTCTTCTGTAGCATCAGGGTTGGCGTCAGTGCTAGATCAGAAACAAAACATCCTCCACGAAGGTGGTGATGCTCTCGTTGGGGCCGTGTCCTGGACAGAATCAGGAATTCGGCTCCCTCTTGTCAATGTTGGCTGATGAACATGCACTTCAGCTCGATCTTGCAAACTTCCCACGACGTTAAGGAGGATTCGTGGTTCTCAAACCAGTGCCTCACAGTTTCTTCCACGAGAAGTATAGCTTCTGCACGAGCTGGTTGTCCATCTACCCACTGTGGCGGCCGACACGGTCATATTGTTCAATCCAGCCCTCGACGTCTTGTGCACCTTGCGTGAAAGGGCATCAGAGTGCGAGGTGCGACGGGCATGCAAACAATGTTGGGAGCGGACGTGGTTTGCTGCTACAGTGTTGTCATTGTGGGCTTAGTCAGCTTTGGTTTTTCTGGCAAAAGACCTAATTCCGGTGGTTCTTGCTGGTAGCAGCGACTGGCTTGGATTTCAAGTTCTTCATGGTGTATTTCCAAGTTTCGCCCTTGTGGTACTTGCTCGTCTTGCAATTTTGCTGTCGGGCTTGGGATAGGACTTGGTTCACGGCTCACCGGGGGTTTAAGACTCGGGATAATGTGCCACCCGTGTCTTGTTATCGGGCAACTCGGCTGAGGAGCCGCCAGGGTAGACACAGAGTGAAGGGCTATGGGTTAAGTGTGCAGCACCTCCACCAGAACATACAATGACAGCTGAGCATGGCCTGGAACTTTCCAGAATAGTAAATATTGATAGAAAATAGGACTGGAGCAGGCATCCAAAACAATATAACAAAACCGACAGAAAAGAGTCTATCCTGACCACTAAAGAAGGTGCACTGCTTTAGTGACATTCTGTCCGAATAAATCCTCTCCTTCGGGGTCTGGCGACTGTCGTGGACGAGCTGAACTGAAATCGGTGTGAGACCACTTTTCTGGTAATGAGCCGCTACAGACTGCCGTCGCAAAGCGGCGTGAATGCGTAACGAGTGTTGAAACTTTGGTGTCGACGAAACGTGCGACAGACCAGCGGAATCAATACCAACCGCAACACCTGTGCTCCGTGAAGGTGCACGTCTACGCCAGAACAATTTAGTAGGCAGCACAGCATCACCTAAAGCACGACACAGGAACTATTAGTTTGGAGGCAGCTCTTCGGCGCGCCGCACACCTGTGCTCCGTGAAAGTGCGCGTCTACGCCGGAACAATTTGGGAAGCAGCACAGTATCATCTAGCATGGAACTACAAGCGGCAAGGCAGCTCTCGGTGCACCGCACAACCAAAGTGAGCCTTCGGGCATTTGAACGAAGCGGCACCACGATTGCACACAGCCAAGCACGACTCACGCAATTTCCGTCGCTAAAGTGTGTATCCAAATATATTGCACACGCTTTACTGCAGATCTCGAAGGTTCCGACGGCCAACGAGAGCACAGAAATGTCGCCTTAAATTTTATACTAGCGGTATCCGAATCAATCCGAGGTGCGAGCAACGTAAGGCAGATTGTCTCTTCCGTGCCATTACCGCCGTCGGTCACCAGCGAAATGCACACCGTTCCTCCGTATTTTCACCTTGTACATACGTCAGACACCACGCTGAACTCTGAAGTCGCTGTCGACCGGCCTCATATGACGGCTTCTGCGTCTGAAATCAACTCGCCGAGACGGACGACAACCAACATAGCATCCGACAAGCTCCGGCCCAGCTGAAGCCAGCCGCTGCATGGGCGCTGCCATCTTTCCTGTGACGTCACGCATTTGGTTCGGTCATGTGACGAGTGGTCAAATTTGCGTACAATGGCAGCCGC